GGCGCCGAGAACTTTGCAGTTCACGGTAGAGTGCCCACGGGTTTGGTGGAGATCGTAGAAGGAATTCTCGTCGTAGTTCAGATTCCTTGACCACGTTTTCCCCGTAGTTCACCCTTGTTCCGATCCGGAGTTAATTGTCAAGTTCTCACTTGTCCAAATTGATCCTAAAATCAGAGGTAAGGGTGATCAATCCTTAACACTAGTATTTATGATGACTAGATTTAGAACTAAATTTTAAACACCCTAGTGATGGTTCAATGCATGAGTCAACCCTAATGAGAAACCTAAATCTAACAAGAGAGACTACTCAAACATATTTATGAGAGACAAAATCATAATGCTTTGAATAATGCTTTAAAATAGTAATAGCAAGAGAAACAATAAGTAAAGCAAGGGAGTTCAAGATCTTCTCTGGATTTGTAGTTCAGATCTCTCTCTCTCAATTCCTAAGCTCTTCTTCAAAGTATAGCTAGATGCTTCTTCTAAAAATTAGGTCTAAAAAGTCTCTAGAGAAGTCTGCTTAAATTAGTACAAAACCCTATTAAAATAGCCTAACAGGCGGCCAGGGACTTAAGGTGTAATTTTTTAAAACTCTTGTGAAGCAATTAGGGCTTCTAATCTTCATTTAATCACTCGGATGGCTTTTGTAACGATCGATATAGAATGTCTTCTATCGATCGATGGTGATAATCTTTCATCGGTCGATTGCTCTTAATGCACATTGGTCGATATCTTCAACACGTTATGCTTATATCTTCATAAAGTCTCCATTTTAGCTCCATAATCGTCATTTTACACCAGTGAGTACCTGAACCTGTAAAAGCTCTAAAAAGACACTAAAAGTATCCTTTTGTTTCCAAAAACATATATAAATCATAGTTAAAAGTGGGTAAAATCCATGATATATCAGTTATATAATCGGTAGCTTTGTGGAGCGCGTCTTGGATCGTCAGCGGTTTTTCGAGAGTTATCCACTTTCGAAACTTTGACTTGAACCAGAGTGATTTTCTGAGCGCGTCGATGGTGGTTTTGTCGCTTATTCTGCTAACCCTAGCCATGATGAGTTTTAATCTGCTCATGAAGTCGCGAAGGGATTCGTCTTCCTTCTGTGACAAGCTCCAGAGATCAGCGTCGGAGGTTTCCCGATTTATAAACATCGAGTACTGCTTCAGGAATTCGGAAGAGAGCTGGCGGAAATTCCCGATTGAATTCTGCCTAAGTTTGGCGAACCACTCGAGCGCTGCTCCTTCTAGGTTTTCGACGAAGAGACGGCAGTAGCCTGCGTCTTTTTCGTGATCCTTGAGCGTGGCTCGTCCCATGGTAATCTGGAAGGCCTGTAGGTGCGCTTTGGGATCAGCCATCCCGTCGTAGGTCGGCACCTTGAGCTTGCCTGGATCGGGTAGATTGACCTTGGTGATGCGGGCCGTAAAAGGCGTTTTCCAAGATTCGCATAGCAGCAGATCGATTTTAGGTGCAGCGCTGGTAGCGTGGTGAATTTGAGACTTCACCGCTTTCACCGCTGCGGCCGTTTTAGTAATGTACTCGCGTAGATTACGGATCTCAGTTAAGTCGCTAGCAGTTTCCCAACCTCGTCGGTGTTTGCTGCGAGTAACTGGAGACCAATCCTCGGCTGTTTTTGCGAGTTGCGCTAAATAGAGCTCCTCCTCGTCTCCAGTAAGAGAGCGCTCGGGAGAAGACTTCGGCAGAGGGCTGTGAGTTTTCCTTCTCCTAGGATGGACGTCCGTGTCCTCGTCGGACGAAGTAACACATGCATCTACTTCAGCTAATCCGTCCCTCACAATCAAATTAATAATGTGAGCAGCACACCTCATATGCATAAACTCTCCTTTCATGACAAATGCTTTATTCGAGACGAGAGAAATTATGTTCAAAATGCATCAAACCATTATTATTGGCTATTGTCAACTGTCACACATGAAATTATCTCTATTACCCACTCAGCTAGACATTCTAAAAGGACAGACAAGATGGTTTTACCTTTGTGTAATGTGACATACTTAAAACCGATGATCAATTTCTTCAAACGCTAGTTTGCATCAATGTAATGGGCTGTTATAACCATTTAGCTACGACCTCCAAAACATTAATAACAAATTTATGAGAACCCGATGATCATTGTTTTTGTTAACTGAGACATTACATGTTACTTGTGAAACCCATATGTCTGTGGTTAGTGATACTCTTTGCTTGTTAAATATGAAAAATTGTTTAAGAGCAGCCTTTCTCTTAGTATACATCTCCACAATTTCCTTGTCACTGTCTTTCTTGATTGAGGGTTATGTAAGTTGACTTAAACACAAACCATAACCACAACATATATATATTACTCGTACATTGAATCCGCATAATAAAAATAAGTTGCTCATTCCTTACCTTATCACAGAAGTATCTCCATCCTACACTCTGAGTAAAAGATAGTGGCCACTCTGAAAGTACGATCAATTCATTTGTTGCTTCCCCAAAAAAATAGTTTCTGAAACTTTGGCACTCATCAAAGAACCTTTTTTGTTTAAAGTATGTTGGCTTTTACCACAATCTTTACCATCTAGCCATGCCTTATTCTGCTTACATGTCTTGAGATGATTGTGCAGGTTTGTTGTTCCAGACTTTGTTGGACATGCGAAATGCTTCAGGCAATAATTGCAAATGCATTTGTCACACGTCTGACCTTGTAGGGAGTACACGTTTCACTTTACTTGATTCATTGTAATCTTCAGGACCCGTATGCTTCCTTTTGCCTCTTTGATCAGTATCCTTAGTCATGAACTCATCTTCATCTTCATGTGACCTTTGGTTAACATTTTCTTAATTGGGGGATGCTGAATCCATCTGTCATCAAGCAAAAAAAATTAAGGAATCATATTAACTTCTCTTCTGATCGATAATACAAGTAAATCAATATGGACATGGACATGATGATAATCGAATCATATTACAAACATAATCCAAAATTTTAACTTAAGAAATCAAACAAATTCGAGAAGGATTTCAAAAACTCAATCAAAGAGAAGGATTTAAAAAACTAACTCAAACACAAGTATAAAAAAATTGAAAGTTACGTGTGATTGCCTTCTCGACGTCAAAGACTGAGAACTCGACGCAAGCAATGTATATATGGTTTCCAGTTTTGATAATTAAAGAAAGGAAATAGGAGTGGTTAAGGAAATCAACGGGCTGGGTGGAATCAAAAGTATCGGGAACACTAAACGGCTCAGCAGGCAGAAAATTTGGTAAAGGAAATAAATGTTTAGGGTTACTAAGGGCTAAGACTTATATACTTTCAGTTATGTTCAGGTGAGATCTAATATCAGTAATCGGGTTTGGTTATCCGGAAGTGGTATAAATGTTAACCGATCGGATATTTTTGACTATCCAAACCCGAACCGAACCGCTTACTTTGGGGTGGGTTCTGGTTCGGGTTCAGGTATCGGTTTTAATGCCCAGTCCTAGAAGAACCAATCAGCCTCTAAATTTACTTATGCGACTTAGTAGCAATTTGCTTCACAAGCGACGACGTGGTCATGTGAACTTTTATATTTTCTATAGGTCTCCCATAGTTTATACATTGACAAAGTAAGGTCTTTGATATTTAGATAGAAAGAATCGAAGACTTTTGAAATGATAGTGGATATAAAAAATTATTTGACAAGTTCTGATTTAACGTGGACCGGGGAACTATTAGACCACTTATCCCGTCCAAGTCGTTTAATTGAAGAAATGATCGCGTTTATAATCAAGAAATTTTCCCAATTCAATACAGAACGACAACAAAAAGTCGAAATAGAGAAAGTGGATCAGACGCAAACAAATTTACTAGATCCAAAACCTAAACTGACTTTCTTCAACCACGAGTTTGATGGGACTGAATAAGAAGAATGTGCATTTTTCTTTATTTAAATTAACGTATTATTCCCATTTTGGAATTATACCCATTAAACAAAACTTTAAATTTTGATGAGAGCTGTCCCAAAAGTTGCCAATATTAATTACGTAACGTTCCGAGCACAACTTCTCATGTATTTGTTAATTAATTAATCAGCCTCGTTGAAGTTTACTGTATAATTAATTTACTTGTTTCAACACTTTTGCGATCCTCTTTCAAAAATATCAGTCTTATATTTTCTTAATCAACAACATGCATTATACAAAGTATTTTTTCTAAATTAGCATTATAAAAAGTTTGGGAGATAAAAAAAATACCAATACCAATACAAACACAATATACATTCTTTATAGAATTTAGTTTCATATATTTACCATTGTTAGTAAATGGTTTGTGTTTAACTTGCAGTTTACCTATTTCATAAATACTTTGAACTATAATTGGGTTTAAGTAGGGCCGGAGTCAAACGCTCAGGTACTCTTGTCCGGAAAAAAAAAAGAGTTGAGATACTCTTGCCCGAAATTGACCGAATTTGGAATTTAATATATTTTTTTAAATAGAAAATTTATTAAAAGACCACGAAACCAAGAGAAACTTAGATAATTACAACTCTACCTACGACTATCCAAACCCGGACCCTGAACCGACCCAAAAAAATCGGATACCCACTTCCAGATTTTGAATTCCCGAATAGGTTTCTCCTTATTGGTTGAAAATTGGAATGAGGTGAAAATAATAAATGGAACTTGTAAAGTTATAGGTAGGTTTCACTAATTACTACTCCCTTTGTCGACCGTTCGCACAAATCAAAATTCTGAAAACCCTATTCAATCGAGAATCAAAACCAAATCATGTTGAGTCGAGACGATCCGAAGTCAAAAGAAGACGGCTCGAGTAGTGTAGGAGGAGATGACACGGCTATGGTTATATTATCCGGAGATGAAGCAAACCCAAGCCGCATCGAGAAATCTGTCGCCCCGGGAACCGACGAAAAAGAGAAGGAAGCCGTAGACGAGGAGAACAAGAGAAGGAAGCCGTAGACAAAGAGAATAAAGACAGAGAAGAAGAGAAGGAGCCGAAAGAAGTGGAAGAGGAAATGGAGCCCCGAAGAGACGATGAAACGGCGATAATTGTACGACCACATGGAACTGAGTCGCATGCAGAGTCGGTAAGTAGGAAAGATGATTTGAAGAGATTAGATCATTGTGGAAAACTAAGTGAAATTTAAGTTACTTATAATTTGTTGATGACTTTGTGAATCTGAATGGAACTGCAACAATATAGATGTACGAACCTTGTGAAATCAAGAAAAACTTTAAATGAGTGATTTCTGAACTAAGTCGAAGTTTGTGAAACTATATGTTGATGGTTGTAAGATGTCGTATGTGATCTGGTATTCACTTGAGTGCAGGTTGTAGATGACAAGCATGAAGGCATGCAACCTCTGAAGTTGAGCTTTCCTTCAAGCCAGTATCAAACGTCTTTAAAGCTTTCAGGAAAATGTTACATTGACACTTGCATAAGAAATATGCAAACAATCATAAAAGAGAAGGAGATGGTATGGTTCATAGAGCACCCACAGTTCAGTCATTTCTTCCATATCAAACACCGAAAGCATAAGCGGATGAGACTGTGGCTTATCGTTTTGCGATCAGCTTGTGTAGCAAAGAAAAATGAGTTATGGTTTATCGTTAATGGCGTCGCAATCCGATACTCGCTCAGAGAATTAGGACTCATTTCTGGACTATACTGCCATGAGTATCCCCCCCAACCATGAGAGGTTGGGTGGTACAGCATTCATGAACAAGTATTTTGGAGGGAAAATGGTAACATATGCTGACGTGGAGAAGCAGATGTTGTCAATGAAATCAAAGCCATCTGAGGATCGTAAGAAGATGGTCATTCTGTACTTATTAGCCAGCATCCTCGTAGGAGGCCGAAAGACTGGTGACGCAGCATCACCTGTGGACAGTTTCTTCCTGAATGTTATTGATGACCTAGATGCGTGTTTAACGTTTCCTTGGGGGCGGTATGCATTTGAACATAACTTGAAGGATGTCTATAGGTTCTTGGAGAAATCCGACGGGGTTGCGCCGACGAGTTGGGTTTTTACAAGCTTTCCTATTTCTTTGGAGGTATTTTGAAGCTCTCTTTACTTAGTTGTGTTACTGTTAAATTGATGTTAATGTTTATTTGTTGTGTGCTCGTAGTTGTTGGCCTTTGAGGCAATCCCAAGCTTAAGGAACCATTTCCGAGAAAATGTGATTGGTGCACACCCTGATTGCCCGTGGATGTGCAAGATGGAGTACAAACGCAAAAGTAGAACCAAGGAATTCAGTCTCAATTCTATGAACCAGAAACTTGGTACTGATACAAAGGTGAGATAATTGTATTAATTCGACTGATGAAAACTTGGTGAAACCATGAAAACTTGGTGAAATTAAGGCAGTTAATGTTTTTTGTGTATTTTTCACAGAATATTGAGAGTATCTTGGTAGTAAAAATAGCTGAGAAGGAACTTCTGGAAACCATAGGGATGGACAAGGAAAGTTGTTGGGCCGATGACTCTGATGATGCAACAGTTGATCGTTGGACGAAGATATTACAGAAAGGCTCGACACAAGTTTTCTTTGAAGAACAGTTCCACATCGATTGTGAGGCTCGCACGGCAAAGCTTAAAGGTCCCACCGATACTATCGGAGGACCATCGAATAATTTGCAATCTGGTAAGGCTCATTCAGATTCGGTGGAGGATACTGGACCTGAGGCTTTAAAAGCGATGGACGGTCGGCTTATGAAATCAGTCGAAGATGCTGTGAAGGATTTGAAGAAAACAGTCTCTTCATTGTCTGACAAGCTAACTCTTCTAGAAGACGAAGTGAAAAGTCTTAAGTCGAGTGGTGATAATCCGTCGGAGGAAATAAGGAGTCAGACGAAGAGGATGATGTTGATAAGGCATCGGAGGAAGAGGATGGTGGTGATAAGGAGAGTAAGGAGTCGGAGGAAGAAGATGACGTAAATAATTACATTCGCGATGTTACAAACAAAGTGCAGAAGGAACATGGTGATGTTAGTGATAACATGGATGAAGATACTGCACAGATGATTGTTCATGCTGAGAAGCATGAGAAGGCATAGGCTGAGAAAGCAAAGAAGGAAAAAAAGAGGGGGAGAATAGATGATGGAAAAGAAGCAGAGGCTTCGAAAAAGGCAAAGGGTTTAGGAAAAGTGAGGAGTCCCGTTAATACAAGAAGCATGGGTTTTGGGGGAGAGAAGGGAGTGGAGGAGGAGGAATCGGAGGAGGATGAGGCAGAAGAGAAAGAGGTAGCAGAGGAAGAGGCAGCAGGGAAGAAGAATAAAGGTGCAAAGAAGGCAGTTGAGAAAAAGGCAGCTAAGAAGGCGGCAGCTGAGAAGGAGGCAGCTGAGAAGGAGACAGCTAAGAAGGCGGCAGCTGAGAAGGAGCCAGCTAAGAAGGCAGCAGCTGAGAAGGAGCCAGCTGAGAAGGCAGCAGCTGAGAAGGAGGCAGCTAAGAAGACAGCAGCTGAAAAGGACGCAGCTAAGAAGGCAGCAGCTGAGAAGGAGGCAGTTAAGAAGGCAGCAGCTGAGAGGGCAGCAGCTAAGAAGGCAGTCCAGAAGAAGCCACCCCTGAAGCCGAAGAAGAGTAAGACAAAGAAGGTAGGTAAGAAGACGGAGTGAAATCTGTTTGTAGTTGTTTTAATGTGATTGAACTCTATTCAGTTTGTATGACATATTTTAAATTTATGTATGAATTGTATGTTTGTTGTTTAAAACTTAAGTTATTTAAGACTTGTGTGTTTTTAAGAGGGATATCGCATCCACACACTTTCTTAACATTTCGATCTCTTCCTGGACTCCGAAGACCCATGGTTGACGGAAATGGGAGCCATCATTCTACACGTGAAACGGAAAAGTATCAAAATCTGCACATAAATAAAACGCGAAAGTATTCACAAATTACCTCAAAATTTTTGCAAGTGAAGTATTTTCTCTCCAGTAAAGTATCAAAATTGGTTGGATACTTTGGGTCCCGAGACACCTCGTTGATGATTCTACCTCCACAAGGGTATCTGGTCGGAATCCCACACTCAGCATCCGCCACGAAGCCACGCATGTTGAATTCTCTCTTCAAAGCCTTCATCTCCCTATACTCCTCGTCTGGATGAGTCATGATTTTGAGTAATCGAGAATTCTAGAAAGAAGAGGGACAGAATACAGATCTGAGTTCTCGCCAAATCAATCTAGAGAGAGAATGAATAAATGGGTGAAACAGAAAAACAATGGCTTTAATACATACACGTCTACTCATACACGTCTATGTTGATTTTGGGGAAAATTCAAAAAGCTGGGCGGGAAAAATTTGTAAATGATTTTCGTGCTTAAAGTTTCACTTGGTTTGTAGTTATACAAAAACCTTTTAAGTTTTACTTTTCTGTTTTTTGCGATTTTATTGGTTTTACTGTACTTAGATAATTAATTTATTGTTATACCAACTATATTCTGTTTTATATGAACGTTTTAGATGATTCAGTGTAGAAAACAATTTGTTTTTGTGACATAAATAACTTTTATAATCCCACAATGTAGTGTATACAAAAAAAACTACTAACAATGATGTATTCCCTTCCCAATTGATAGAAAATGTGATCCACATTATAAAAGAATTTCATTCCTCATGATACAGATCTCAGAACATGTTGAATAAATTACATCATATTCCTTAAACATGATTAACTAATGTCATCGCAGGTGTAATTACTCCAAATCAACAATAATAACACAAGTTTCACCAAGTTTTAGAATTATATATCGCAATAACTTTAATTAGGTTTCACCAAGTTTCACATTCACATAACGCATGTTTTCACAAAGTTTTTGAAGATTTCCTCTACTTTCACCAAGTTTTACACTCACAATCAACTCATGTGTTCACTGTATCGGGTGCCTTGAGTGCCTTGAGTGTCTTGAGTGCCTTGTGATCCTTGAGTGCCTTGTGTTCCCCGTGATCTTTCTGTTCCTTGAGTTCCCTGTGAGCAGTTGAAATAGCTTTCCAAGCCAATATCAGGGTTATACTTATTAGGACAGGGACGTGGCCGTCTTTCTCTTGCCGAAGGAAACCTGTTTTCCTGATGTCTTCCTTTTTTTCACGTACTCTGGAGGTAAGGGACACTTATCCGCGAGTTCTTTTGGAACCATCCAATCAAACACGTTCATCGTAAAGCTATTTTCCTCGTAAGGTCCTAGCGAATTTACGAGGAAATGTTTCCTCGTAAAGGTGTGGTTATATTTTCCTCGTAAGGTCCTCGTACGCTTTCCTCGTAAGCTCGTAGTAAGTTTTTCCTCGTAAGATCGTATTAATAGATTACGAGGAAATTACTAGAACTAGTTACGAGGACATTACTTGGAATCCTTTACGAGGATTTTGCTTCGAAATGCTTTTTTCCCTATCAAAAAAAAAAATAATTATAAATAATTATTTTATTTTTTAAAAATTAAAAAAAATCAAATTATAAATAAAAAATAAAAAATAAAAGATTTTATAAATAACTAAATAATATACAAAAAGTTTTTAAATTCATAATATACAATTAAAAATAAAATAAAAACTACAGATGCTGGTCGTGAAATTGCTGAACGAACTGGTCGTCGTCCTGGCTCGGCAAATCCTCTCCATAGTTGGTTGCCGGCTGTGACTGTGATGGTGGATGCTGTTGGGTTGGAATCCCTCCACGTTCACGTCTCTGACACAACATCTCCTGCACATGCGGGTTTCCAACCGCCATAATGTCGAGGACATCGGTGAGAGAAGTCACATGCTCGGTGAGCGAAGTCACATGAGACTGCGTCGCCTGCAACTCCGAGCGCAGCTGAGCATTGACATCGTGCTGCTCCTGATGATAAGACGATGTCGCTGCTCCTAGGGGCGACCTGGAAATAAAAATATTAATAACTTTAAGAAAAAATTTAAAAAAATATTAAAAATTAATAGTAAAACAAATTATTTACCTCCTCGTAAATCTTATCCACGTCAACAGTGGATAATATGACTGGAGTCCCAGTCTGCTAGGTCTGGCGTTCGTCAACTCGGGCAACAAGCTCGTTGTAGATCCGCTCGGAAGCAGGATCTACAAACTGCTCAGCCTTGTTCCGGTGGGTCCTCTCGTAAAGGTCTTTTAGAGATGGAAGAACTCTTGTCTCCTTAGCCTAATATTAATTTATAAAATTAAATATTAATTTGAATATTCAAATAAAATAAAAATTAAATTGTTATTAAAAATCATCTTACCATGTCTAGACGAACTCCCCCGTGAGGTATTCGACTCGTGGTGTGAAGCACCTTCGTGTTGCCATGCTCGTCTTTGGTCATGCGGTTCCCGGAGTTTGTGTTGGAGGTTCTGACCGAGTCCGGCAACCCCCAATAGCTGACGAGGCCATCCCACAACGTGGTTGTGAGGCAATCGGGTTTCCCGGCCTCGTAACCATCCACCTGATTTAAAAAAAAATTAGAATTAAAGTCAATATATATATAATATTTTTAAAACTATATATATATATATATATTATAATTTATAAATCTATACCTCATAGTCGCCCTTCCAGTTGTAGACCATGTCGAGCAATCGTGCTCTTGCCTTGGCCTCAAACTCCTTCTTCACTCGCTGGTGAATCCCAATAGACCAACGATAATTTTGCTGTAACCAGAAAAAATAAAAGACGGATTAGTTCAATAATATTAATAATTTTAAATAATTAAAAATAAATTAACGAATTAAACTTACAGCGAACGATTTGAACCATGTCTTTTTGTGTGGCTCGCCGTCATCTTCCAGTTTAGAGCTGGATCGGGAAAGTATCCCTTGATACAGTCTGTGACGCTAGATCCGACACAATTGTCAAGACCAAACCTGGAAAGACACAAAATAAATCATTAATTAGATTAATTTCTAAATATTTTGTTAATTAAGAAATAAATTTAAAAACTTTTTAAAAATTAAAACATACCATAATATGTTTTGGCCGTCCCGTCGGTAAGGATCTAACTCTGCCAGCCATTCTCTGCCTGGAAGGCCAAAATATCCTCCACCGTGTATACCGCAAAGGGTGCGTTCAGCGGCACCTGCAAAATCGGGATGAACCCCGAGAGGAGGAGGAGGAGGAGGAGGAGGAGGAGGAGTCTCGGGAATCGAAGATGAACCGGGAGCTGACGAAGGTGAACCCGGAGCATCCTGACGCTCAAACATATCTCCGTAGCTTATCTCCTCGAGAGACGACGTCCTCTTACCAGTAGCTTATCCCCTCGAGAGACGACGTCCTCTTACCAGCAGCCTTAGCAAGCTTGCTCTGTCTAGGCATCTATATTTAAAAAAAAAAAATCAAAACATTAATTCCCGTATAATTTAAAACAACAATAAATAAAAGTAAATCAACCTAATCTAAATTACCTAAACTAACCACCTAATCTAAATTACCTAAACTAACCATCTAATCTAAATTCTCTAAACTAACCACCTAATCTAAATTCCCTAATCTAATCACCTAACTACGGATTAGAGAGAACCTTTAGAGAATTTAGAGAGAAGGTTACTAGCAAATCAGAAACCGGATTGCTCGAGTATATATAAGGAATTTTGTTTCCTCGTAAAGTCCTAGTAAAATTACCAGGGCTTTACGAGGAAATATCTATGCCCGTGTTTTTATTTCCTCGTAAGGTCCTCGTAATGGTTGTACTAGGGCTTTACGAGGAAAACCCTTTACGAGGAAATAGCTATGCCCGCGTTTTCTTCCTCATAAAGCCCTAGTAACACCTTACTAGACCATTACGAGGAAATTGCTATGCCCATGTTTTCTATTACTAGGGCTTTACGAGGAAAGGGTTAATAAATCCCTAAACTCGAAACCCCAAACCCCAAACCACAACTTCCTTAACTTATAACCTCTTCTACAACCAAACTCCTAACCTCTTCTACACATAAACCCCAAACCCCAAATGCAAATTGATTT